GGCAGGAAAGGAGGGAGTAAGTCGGGCAGGAAAGGAGGGGGGGGGGAGAAGTGTTCGGTGTGTGGGTACCAGATGTAATTCACTTAAGCCTATCGAAGGAAGGCGGTGTTGGAGGTGTTGCAAGAATTATATTGTTTTCTTATTGATGTGGAGAGCTAGTTTTGAATATTAAATAATACACTATAATATTTGAACAGTAAGTACAGTATTTGATTTGCTATTTATTCATTTAAATATTTACAAGAAAATAAAAGGGGATTTAACAGAACTTAAGGCGCATATGTTAGTCATCGTACAGCGTGTCGACCCCCACATGTTGACACACGTGGAGGGGAGTTGGGGAGGCTAGTGAGATGTGGGGAGAGGGGGTGACCAGCAAGGAGATCACAGACATGTGATCTGTCTCTTTCCAGTCTTGCCCACCCACCCATCCACCTGCAAGCACGCCCACCTACCCACCTGGAGTTAGTGGAGTTAAGTGATGTAATACAGCTGCAGACACCAGACACTGTTGCACTCACGGAGAAAAAATTTGAAGATGTTATTTTAAACGAGGTCATATTCCCAATGGGCTACTCAATTTGGAGACGGGACAGAAAAATTAGGAAAGGCGGTGGCGTTGCTGTGCTGGTAAAAGAACACCTAAAGGTGAATGAAATAATGACTGCCAATCCACAAGAAGTTGACATAATAGCACTAGAGATCTGCCATGAGGATGATAAACTAATAATCATAAATGCATATAGTCTACTGCCAAGCAGCACATGGTCAAAGGAGGAGCTAGATCGTAAACGAGAAGAGAGATCATAGCGAGAGAGGATAACGATAGATCATGACTGTTAATAGTCGGCGACTTCAACTTGAAATCCATAGACTGGGAAGCACATGAAGCTAAAACAGAAGATTTTTGGACCTGTAAATTTGTAGACCTCATCCTGGAAACATTCTTGTATCAACATGTTGAACAAGCTACGAGGATGAGGGAAGGGGACATTCCCTCCATGCTAGATTTGATATTTACCAGGAAGGAGGAAGAAATATATGACATTCAGTACCTTCCTCCCTTGGGTAAATATGACCATGTCTTTTTGGGAATAAAGTATGCAATGCATTATAATCTGGAAGAAAATAAGAAGGTTGAAGCAATTGAAAAAACTGACTTTAGGAGAGGACATTATGGCAACCTTAGAAAATTTTTTAGTGAGTATAATTGGACAGACTTGTTGCTAGGCAAGGAAATAAAGGAGATGTATGTCAAGTTTTGTGAAATATATGATAAAGGCACACAAAAATTTATACCAAAACAGAGATGCAGAACTAGGAAACAGGATTGGTTCAACAGAAATTGCGAGAGGGCCAGAGACCAAAAGACACAAAAATGGAATCAATACAGGAAGTGGCCAAACCCCCAAACATACCAGCCTACATGGCAGTAAGGAGAGAGGCAGGAAGAAATTTTGAAAAAGGGATTGCAGACAAATGTAAAACAGAACCAGGTCTATTCTATAAATTCATAAACAACAAATTGCAGGTAAAGGATAATATTCAGAGGTTGAAAATGGGAAATAGATTCATGGGAAATTTAAAGGAAATATGTGAAACATTAAACGAAAAGTTCCAAAGTGTGTTTGTACAAAATGAAATCTTCAGGGTACCAGACACAATAAGAATTCCAAAGAACAACATAGAGCACATAGAGGTGTCTAGAGATGAAGTGGAAAAAATGCTCAAGGAGCTAAGTAAGAACAAAGCAGTTGGTCCAGATGGAGTTTCACCATGGGTTCTGAGAGAATGTGCACCTGAGCTCAGCATTCCACTTTAACTGATTTTTCAGGCATCCCTGTTTACAGGAGTTGTAGCTGATGTGTGGAAAAAGGCTAACATAGTTCCAATCTACAAAAGTGGAAGCAGGGAAGACCCCCTTAATTATAGACCTGTATCATTGACAAGTGTAATAGTCAAAATATTTGAAAAAATAATTAAAACTAAATGGGTAGAACACCTGGAGAGAAATGATATAATATCAGACAGACAGTATGGTTTTCGATCTGGAAGATCCTGTGTATCGAATTTACTCAGTTTCTATGATCAAGCCACAGAGATATTACAGGAAAGAGATGGTTGGGTTGACTGCATCTATCTGGACCTATCTTGAGATGATTTTGGGGCTTTTTAGCGTCCCAGCGGCCCGGTCCTCGACCAGGCCTCCACCCCCAGGAAGCAGCCCGTGACAGCTGACTAACACCCAGGTACCTATTTTACTGCTAGGTAACAGTAGGGTGAAAGAAACTCTGCCCATTGTTTCTCGCTGGCACCTGGGATCGACCCCAGGACCACAGGATCACAAGTCCAGCATGCTGTCCGCTCGGCCGACCGGCTCTCACAACCTAAAAAAGGCTTTCGACAGAGTTCCACATAAGAGGTTGTTCTGGAAACTGGAAAATATTGGAGGGGTGACAGGTATGCTTCTAACATGGATGAAAAATTTTCTGACTGATAGAAAAATGAGGGCAACAATCAGAGGCAATGTATCGGACTGGAGAAATGTCACAAGTGGAGTACCACAGGGTTCACTTCTTGCACCAGTGATGTTTATTGTCTACATAAATGATCTACCAGTTGGTATACAGAATTATATGAACATGTTTGCTGATGATGCTAAGATAATAGGAAGGATAAGAAATTTAGATGATTGTCATGCCCTTCAAGAAGACCTGGACAAAATAAGTAAATGAGTACCACTTTGCAAATGAAATTTACTGTGAATAAATGCCATGCTATGGAATGTGAAATAGGAGAACATAGACCCCACACAACCTATAAATTATGTGAGAAATCTTTACAGATTTCTGATAAAGAAACAGATCTAGGGGTGGTTCTAGATAGAAAACTATCACCTGAAGACCACATAAAGAACGTTGTGTGAGGAGCCTATGCCACGCTTTCTAACTTCAGAATTGCTTTTAAATACATGGATGGGAAAATACTGAAGAAATTGTTCACGACTTTTGTTAGGCCAAAGCTAGAATATGCAGCGGTTGTGTGTTGCCCATAACTTAAAAAGCACATCAACAAATTGGAAAAGGTGCAAAGACATGCTACTAAGTGGCTCCCAGAACTGAAGGGCAAGAACTACGAGGAGAGGTTAGAGGCATTAAATATGTCAAAACTAGAAGGCAGAAGAAAAAGAGGTGATATGATCACTAAGTACAAAATAGTAACAGGAATTGATAAAATCGATAGGGAAGATTTCCTGAGACCTGAAACTTCAAGAACAAGAAGTCATCGATTTAAACTAACTAAACAAAGATGCCGAGGAACTATAAGAAAATTCACTTTCGCAAACAGAGTGGTAGACGGTTGGAACAAGTTAAGTGAGAATGTGGTGGAGGCCAAAACCGTCAGTAGTTTCAAAGCGTTATATGACAAAGCTTAAACGGGACACCACTAGCGTAGCTCTCATCCTGTAACTACACTTAGGTAATTACTTAGGGAATTACCTACCTGATAGCTCACCCACCCATCTGTTCACCCACCTGCATGCTCACCCACCTGTATGCTCACCCACCCACCCACCCACTTGCCTGCTTGAACCTGTTCACCCACCAAGCCCATCTGCCTGCCATCCACCCATCCAAAACCTACCTGCCTGAACCCACCTATCCCTGCCTGCCTGCCCACCCACTTTCCCTGCCCACCTACCAGCTAGGCAGCTAACCACCCACCCAGTCCCACACACTATTAAGTGTGTGTTAATTCAAATCATGATTGTGGTATAAAAATTGTTGGAAATGTTCCCTTTTGGACTCAGAGGTGAAAAAGTACGTTAATCCGGAAAACGTGATAATCCGGCTGGAGGTCCTTCCCATATAGTCCGAATTAGCGAGTGGATACAGTACTGCTTGCCAAAGAACAGACCCCAAATTCCCTAGGCTATGAATGGGGCCCACGGCATGCCATGTAAACAAGCACATGAATCCCAGGACACCCCCAAGCACAACCAACAGAATGTCCAAAGCCATGGGCTCAGTGGAGTAAAAGACTCGTGATTAGCCCACCACCCTGGCAGCTTTGGCCTTCCAGGGGCAAACTTTGAATACAAAGTTACTGTCAGTGCAGGAATAGTGCTAGTGAGCATCCAAGAAAGGAAACCCTTAGCACTTTCAGTTCAAAGCACAACAGAAGCCCATACAACAAAGCTAGAGAGAACACACACACACACATGTAGCTAATATGAAAAGAAAGGAACAAAACACAAGCAAATGGGCTTCCCTCTGCAGGATGAATGAAGTCCAAGGATAGCTGGCACTTAGCTTTGAAGCAATGGGGTTTACCACAACTGATGGACTGGAGTACTACAGGCAGTAGCAACCATCATATCATCAGCGCCAGAACTGATCTGGGGAAGCCGGCTGGGGCTGGATCACTTGGTGGCAGTAATCAGTACTAATTGAATTGAGCTCATTTTGAGTGAATCTTTTTGTTTCATTTGAGTCTTCATTTTCTGTGAACCCTCTAGTTGTCTATAAAGCTTTGGTGACTTTCTGGATGCTTTTCCGAGTTGGGTGCTGGATTGTCATTCGCTCCCTGCACCTCTGTGAGGGGGGGTGGCTAGATTCTGACTCTGATGTGACCCAATAGGCCACACAGAACTTCCTGTGAGTAATATGACCCAATAGATGAGGTAAAATCAGTGAGATAACTTCATGGAGGCACTGAGGGATGGGGGGGTTACCTTGAGGTTACCTTGAGGTGCTTCCGGGGCTTAGCGTCCCTGCGGCCCGGTCGTCGACCAGGCCTCCTGGTTGCCGGACTGATCAACCAGGCTGTTGGACGCGGCTGCTCGCAGCCTGACGTATGAGTCACAGCCTGGTTGGCTGTTGGGGGGAACATCAGAAAACAATTAGTAAGGGCATAATGAAATGTAAAATTAAAATATAAATATAACTAAATCAAAACAAAACAATTGTGTAAGAGAAAACCTAATTTGTATTTTACAGAGAGAGAAGCGAGCCCAAGTGTACCTGTCCATCTGAACTTAGAAAAGAACGGGGCCGCATGGAGGATCCCCCAGACCTCCTTCCTCCCAGGCTACACCCACCAGTGGCAGACACATTGGCCTTTGTCAAAGCCAAAGAAGAGTTCAAACAACAAATAAACTTCCAAGGACTACTGTATAGGTACAGTATAGACAATATTACTTTAGTGTTAGGTATGTAAGGACAGTATTGTTGGAGTGTTAGATGGTTACAATTTCCATTGTCAGGGGGGATAGGAAGCCTGTAATCAGGTTTATCAAGGTTCCCCTTAGGTTAACTACTGACCGTCTCCAGGATGTAACCCACGACAGTTGCCTAACTCCCAGGCCTCTATTTAAGTGAACCCGGGCTAACTGAACAGCATGAAGTGAAAGTAAAAGTGCCTAACCATTTTTGGATTGTGAGTCAAGGATAAAAACCACTGTACTAAAGGACCCCTTGACGTCACTGATGTACAGTATATGAAAAAGTAGAGTGAAGCAAGTATGTTTCCCTGGAAAATGCTTGTATAAATGGCTAGTGTAGGAAAAGTAGCATCATTTAATAATTAATTTATATATACAAGAGTTCTCACATTCTTGTACAGCCACTAGTACGCGTAGCATTTTGGGCAGGTCCCTGGAATACGATCCCCGCTGCAAAGAATCGTTTTTACAACCAAGTACCCATTTTACTGTTGAGTTAAACAGAGGCTACAGTTAAGGATTTGTGCCCAATAAATCCTCCCCGGCCAGGATACGAACCCATGACAAAGCGCTCACGGAACACCAGGCGAGTCTTACCACTACACCACGGAGACTGGTGACAATTTGTCTGTAGTGATGCATCAGTGTCATTGAAAAGGTCTACTGCAAGACAAGGGCCTACTGCAGCTTGATTTGGATGAGTCGTTTCAGCAAATGTTTGCCGTTCTTCCCGTGCTTACCTTGAGGTTACCTTGAGGTGCTTCCGGGGCTTAGCGTCCCCGCGGCCCGGTCGTCGACCAGGCCTCCTGGTTGCTGGACTGATCAACCAGGCTGTTGGACGCGGCTGCTCGCAGCCTGACGTATGAGTCACAGCCTGGTTGATCAGGTATCCTTTGGAGGTGCTTATCCAGTTCTCTCTTAAACACTGTGAGGGGATTGCCAGTTATGCCCCTTATGTGTAGCGGAAGCGTGTTGAACAGTCTCGGGCCTCTGATGTTGATAGAGTTCTCTCTCAGAGTACCTGTTGCACCTCCGCTTTTCAACGGGGGTATTCTGCACATCCTGCCATGTCTTCTGGTCTCATGTGATGTTATTTCTGTGTGCAGGTTTGGGACCAGCCCCTCTAATATTTTCCACGTGTAAATTATTATGTATCTCTCCCGCCTGCGCTCAAGGGAGTACAGATTTAGGTTCTTTAGTCGGTCCCAATAGTTTAGGTGTTTTACTGAGTGGATTCTAGCAGTAAAGGATCTCTGCACGCTCTCCAGGTCAGCAATTTCTCCAGCTTTGAAAGGGGCTGTCATTGTGCAGCAGTACTCCACTCTAGAGAGCACAAGTGTTTTGAAAAGTGTCATCATCGGTATAGCATCTCTAGTGTGAAAAGTTCTTGTTATCCAACCTGTCATTTTTCTTGCAGTTGTGACGGCTACTTTATTGTGTTCTTTAAAGGTAAGGTCTTCCGACATGAGTACACCCAGATCCTTTACATTGCCTTTTCGTTCTATGTTATGATTTGCCTGAGTTTTGTACGTGGTTTTCGTTTTTATATTTTCATTTTTTCCATAGCGCATGAGCTGGAACTTATCTTCGTTAAACACCATATTATTTTCTGTAGCCCATAGAAAGACCTGATCTACATCTGACTGGAGGTTTGCCGTGTCCTCTATGTTGCCAACTCTCATGAAAATCCTAGTGTCATCTGGAAAGGATGATACAGTGCTATAGGTTGTGTTCTTGTCTATGTCCGATATGAGGATGAGAAAAAGTACTGGAGCAAGCACAGTACCCTGGGGGACTGAGCTCTTCACGGTTGATGGGCTGGATTTTATTTTGTTGACTATTACACATTGGGTTCTGTTGGTCAGGAAATTGTAGATCCATCTGCCTATTTTTCCGGTAATTCCTTTTGAATGCATTTTATGTGCAATAACGCCATGGTCACATTTATCAAAAGCTTTTGCGAAATCTGTGTAAATTACATCAGCGTTTTGTTTGTCTTCCATAGCATCTAATGCCATATCATAGTGGTCCAGCAACTGCGACAGGCAAGAGCGCCCTGTTCTGAAACCATGTTGTCTGGGGTTATGGAGATGCTGTGATTCCATGTATTTTGTGATCTTACTTCTTAGCACTCTCTCAAAAATTTTTATAATGTGCGATGTTAGTGCTATCGGTCTGTAATTTTTTGCCTCTGCCTTATTTCCTCCTTTATGAAGTGGTGCTATCTCTGCTGTTTTTAGTATATCAGGAATAACGCCAGTATCTAGGCTTTGTCTCCACAGAATGTGGAGGGCTTGCGATAGTGATTTTTTACAGTTCTTGATGAATATGGAGTTCCAAGAATCCGGGCCTGGTGCAGAGTGCATAGGCATACTGTTTATGGCTTCTTCAAAATCCAGTGGGGATAGGGGTGACGTCTGATACATGATTTGATGTTGGTATCATATCCATGAAAAATTCATTTGGGTTATCAATCTTTAGTGCGTTTAAGGGCTCACTGAAAACAGAGTCGTACTGCTTCCTCAGTAGCTCGCTCATTTCTTTGTTGTCATCGGTGAAAGTTCCATCTCCCTTTCGCAGGGGCCCGATACTAGATGTGGTTTTTGATCTTGATTTTGCATAGGAGAAAAAATATTTCGGATTTCTCTCTATTTCACTGATGGCCTTTTGCTCTCTTTGCCTCTCCTGGGTTTTGTATGATTCTTGTAGCTTGCATTCAATTGTTTCTGTTTCTCTACCTAACCTTTTTCGCTGTTCTTGAGATAGGGTGCGACTCTCAAGTTGTTCCGCAATTCGTTTTCTTCGCCTATATGGGGAACAACGTTCCCGTTCTAATCTGCATCTCTTCCTCTTTTTTCTTAGGGGTATGCAGTTTGAACATATTTCTAGTGCTACTGAGCTTATTTTTTCCAGGCTGCTCGCATTTTCATAATAAATGAGGAAAGGACATCTTCTACATCATCAACCCTCATACCATTTTCTCGTTTATGAATGATCTTTTATTTTTCCTCTGTGATCATCCTCACATTTTTTTTTTTTTTTTTTTTGAGATATATACAAGAGTTGTTACATTCTTGTACAGCCACTAGTACGGAAGTGTGTTTTCTTAGGTTGAACCTTACCACTGAGTTTCTTGGGATCCATGGTGTGATATATAAAAATTACTTATATGTTCAAAAAACAAAAAATCACCTAAATAATGGAGTTTCTTACAAGCGTGATCGTCACTAAGTGGGCGGCTCTGGTAAACTGAGGCAGGTCTGCCCTAGTGACCAGGAACCATGTGCTAGGTCGACCCGAACGCGTTTCAATGAATATCGTTAGTCGACGACACTATCGTAAGTTGAGTCGCATTTTCTGATCAAATTTATATCATAACTCGAAATTATCGTAAGTCGGGGCCATCGTAAGTCGAGGTGTCACTGTATTATGTGGGATTTTAGTGCAACTGGTCTATAATTCTTTGCCAATGCTTTGCTCCCTTCCTTGTGTAGAGGGGCTATGTCTGCTGACTTAAGCACATCTAGTATCTCCCCCATGTCCAAGCTCTTCCTCCACAATACTGTATACTGAGTACAGTGGTACCTCGGTTTAAGAGTTTAATCCGTTCCTGGAGACAGCTCGTATTCCGAAAACTCATAATCCGAAGCTAATTTCCCCATAAGAAATAATGGGAAATGAATTAATCCGTTCCTGGCTACCCAAAAACTTCACTTCAAACTAAATTTTATACCTAATTCATCTAAATAAACCTACAAAACTATGTTCAAGTTATTACTTACCCTTGCTGATGACTGCTGTTGGCGTATGGAAGATGGTGAGGAGGAGGGAGGAGGAGAGGTGTTACTGTTTGGAAGGGGCGTCCCCTTCCATTATAACATCAGGCAGTGAGGACTTCACTGGTGTTCACTCTCTGGCACATTTTGCCTACATACCACTAGGACTTGCTTGTCTTACTAAGAATCTGTCTAAAGACACTTGTTTTTCCCTACATTTTAACACTTGTCTGTAATATGACAAGTGTTAAATTGTAATGGACTTCTCCATTGTCATTTAAAATGTCAATGCAATGGCCTGCTACAGCTTTATCTGGGTGAGTTTTTTCAACAAAACTTTGCAGTTTTTCCCATACTTCACACATTTTCTTAACCCTTGCACTGCTCACCTATTTTCGGCAAAAACGTCTTGGTGCAATTGTCAAGGACATATTTTTGTTATTTTTACAAATGTTCAGGTAAATTTAATGTAAAAATGTTACCAAAGTCAACTATTTCCATTTCAAAACACAAATAGTAATGAAAACATTAAAAAACATTAAAATATAGCCAAATTAAAAAACAAAGAGCACAACTCTCTGAGCGCCTAAGGGCGCTTTGCGCAGTGCAGTGGTTAATCAAGAAAGGACATCCTCTACTGCCTCTACTCACAGCTATTTTCTTAGGTTGAACCTTAGCAATGGCTTTCTTGAGACCCATGGCAAAATATATACTGTAATAACAACTTTTATGCTCAAATGGCCAAAAAAACAACTAAAAACTGTAAATCCTTGTGAAGAATTCAGGCGGGATAGTCACTGGGCGCGAGACACTGGTAAACTGAGGCGCGATCGCTGTGCACCACATGCTAGCTGGCCTGTACGTGTATCAACAAACTCATGTTCTGAGGCAACCCTTGCCTTCCGAGGCAAATTTTCCGAGCAAATTCTGCTCGTATTCCGAAAAACTCGTATACAGGGACACTCGTATTCTGAGGTACCACTGTACCTGAGCTATAGGCACTTTACATTTCTATATAAATGTTGAATTCTATGAATCTGGACCCGGGGGCTGAGTGTATAGGCATATTGTCAATTTCTCTTTCAAAATCTGCCACACTCATGTTGATATCAGTTATATTTTCAGGGGTTTGGATATCATGCATAAAGAAGTTGTCCAGATCTTCCACTTTAATGCTGTT